TCAACTTGTGGAGAAAGAAAGAAGGGAAAACTCTGCAGAGTACCAGTCCTCACTCAGACCCATACAACAGCAGTTGTTGGTTTGACTTACAAAAGAAAGCGACCTCCAGTCTATTGAGCAACAAAATCCAGTCTGAGCCTGTGATAGCCTTTACTGTAGATTCAGCTGACTAGCATTACAGAGTACCTCTTTAAGCAGACTAAAGGTGAAGCACTTTGCTTAAAGCTATGAAGATTATTCACAGGAGCCAGGCTTTCTTTTAATCTCATAAAGTGCTTTTGATTTCAGTTTCCTTGAGTTTTCTGATGGTCTTTCAAAGTTTTCCTCTGGCTGCTTTTCATACCAGATATCTACCCGTTTTCAAACTTTATTCATGAACCTGTGATGTATAAATTATTCACACATGGTAGTTCTGTTTCAACACATACTATTAAGCTTAGTAGTAAAACTTTTTTTTTTTTAAATGATCTTTGGGACCTTTGGTCCATTTATGTTTGTTGGAGTTTTTTTTTCTTTTTTTTCTTTTTGAAGGAAACTTATGCTTTAACATTTTATTAGAAATGAAATGAATAGAAATGAATCAAAATTTACACTCCGTTCTGATTTTGGTAAAAAGCACATTTTTTAAGTGTTAATAATACTGCCTGACCTCATTACTCAAAATAACATTTAAATAATATGTCAGCCAATTACCTTCATTGTTTTTTTTCTCTCTTTTGAAAAATAACGTGAGCGGGGAAGAAAAAAAAAGAAAAAAGAAATTAACATAGTTTCAAAGAAGTGTGAAAATATTGCAGTAATTAGGTCTGTGAAGTCAGAATAACCTCCAAAGATTGGGTGTGTGGGCAGGTACACAGAGCATCAAAAGATTTGCCTACACTATTCATCCAAAGCAAATGCATATTGATAACCTTTGGTGTCAATTGCTACATTTGAATCATATTTACATAGTGATTGTCAGTCAGGGATACACTTTGCATGACCTCCATGTGTGTTTAGATGTAAACATGCAGAACAACGAATGGAGAAACACTCCTCCCTTACATTATACCAGCCCAGTATCAGTGTCCTACCATCCCTCTGTCCCTTCATCTATCCACCCATCCATCCATTCATCCATACGTCCATCCATCCAGGAGAGAAACCAAGATGCTCTAACATTCAAATGCAATCTTTAGATCATTCCCGCACATACCAGAGTTTCCAGGCCAGAAGGAACATGTACTGTCCCTCCAGTTAATTTCTGGGTCTCCTGGATGGACCTTTTGTTCTTATCCATGCTAGACAAAAACGGATGATTCACCTTTGTACCATTGGATGCTTTATATTAAAGGATAATTGGTTTATGAACCACATTATTGCATTTAGCTCTGACGTTAGCCACGGCAGGCAAGAACCTTAAACTCTTTACCAACGCTAGCATAAAATAAAATTAAGGCCAGCCACAGTAGCAGTGACTGTAGCCCAGGCTTCCTTCAGATGGCAAATCTTTCTTTAAGGCTCCTTTATGGATAAAGTTGGTTTCAAATGATTGGGTTAAGGAATCTCGTTTATCTGGTTGTTATCCATACATCTGGTGATCACATAGGATTGTTTTTGTAAACTTCTTCACAAATGGACAAAAACATAGTCAACTTTGACTATGTTGTGAGCTTACTCTCTCCCACTTCTGTCTTTCTCTCCTACAGGTAAAGGGCAATAGTTCACAAAGTAGTAATTCCATTAAGTATCTTCATTGTTCATTGTCGCAAAACCAAACATTTCTCCTGAACTTGTGGAGACTATCAAGTTCTGCCCTCAGGAAATGGAGCTTGTGTAATTTGCAGTCATAAATCCCCATCAGAGTTAACCAGGCAGATACCTGACATAACTTACTCCGTGAAAGAAAAAGGTTTGCTGTCTTCAGAAGTCTCTCAAAGTTCCTCTTTTTGTGAGATTCTAGATCTTTGTGTCTTCGGGGCTGGGTTGTTCATCAAGGGGTTTGAGCTGCTGCCATAAAAACACAATTGGTCATAGGAATCTGTCTCCCGGGGCCATCGTTGTTATTTTTCCCCCACTAACACATCAGAGAGACCATGCTTTTCCCTGTGTTATCAAGAGCTCCATCATCCCGAGTGTTGCTCAACATTATGTCTGTTTAGTGATCATGACGTGTGTATATATCCCATCTTCGGGACATTGCGCAAAATGTTTACCCATTACAAACCGGAATATGAGTTTACGGCTGAACAGGCTGACCTTGGAGTACACAACGCAGAACGGGTTCCCAAAATCTAAAAGCAATGCTATTGATGGAAAAAGTAAAACGGCAGATGAAATGCCTCCTGAACAGACAAGCACGCACATTTACGCTCAGCCTGACAACATAATCAATACCCTGTCCCTGCAGGGGTTTTCAATGTGCCTGTCGCTTTTACTGATGGGTTTATGGTGACCTTAATGTAGGAGATGGCGTTTTTAATGGAGTGACACCCATCTGACCATTGGAAGTCTGTTTACCAGCTTCCCCTGCATGAGGGATTTCTGGGGGAAAAAAAAAAAAAGTGTGAACATCTAGCTGATAGACAAATGTATTGCAGGTGATTTTTTTCCCCCTGTGTTTATCATTGTTGCCTGACATTGTAATGGTTTGGTGCTTTAATGTGTTAAATCTGAATACTCAATCTCTATTTGGATATTTCTCTTAATTATCACAGTCTAAAGATCATCAGAGGATACTGGTGAATCCTGACTGCACTAGCAAACTATTCAGGCTGTCAACTAAAATAACAACAGACAAACATGAATACAACTGTGTAATAATGGCAAACTTACAACATAGGAAAAATAATGCTGTACAACTCTTAATAACAGCAAACTCGGATAAAAGAAATGTGCAACTGAAAAACAACAGCAGGAATGCTATTTGAAATTGAAAAGAAAACCGTGAATAACACCTGGGATGTAAAATTTTAATTAGTTTGTTGGGAGCAGTGATGGTTATAAAGTCCAGCAACTGCTGGGAGGAAGGATCTGCGATGACGCTCCTTTGTGCAACGAGGACGCAGCTGTCTGTTACTGACTCCACATGGGGTGGGAGCCGTTGTCTAGAGTGATGTCATTGTAGCCAACGTTCTTCTGTTTTCTACCACCTGCACTGGATTGAGGGGGCATCCTAAGACCAGATTCCCTACCAGGAAGGTCTTCAATACCAATAGCTGTAGATGTTACCTGTAGGTAAGCTGCTGCTCCAACAAACTCCACCTTATAAGTTGGCTAATGCTACCTTGGAGTCAGAAATGTCTTCAAGGGCACCATCTGTACTCTAAAAGATTTCAGCTTTCTTATAGTCTGTCTGGAAGCTTTGCGTAGCTTCTGGTGTTTCTGCTTAGAACATCGTTTCATTATATATCCCTGCTTTGAACTTATCCACAGACATGACCTGTCTGGTGTGCTCCTTGGTCTTCATGATTTGTTCACCAACAAAAACTTCTTAGGCCTTCACAGAACAACTGGATTTATACTAAGATTGAAACACAGAAAGAGCCTCTAGTGATTGACCTTGTAGCCAATCATTTAGGTCACCACCTGCTGGTACAAACCATCTCTCTCTATATATATTTTTTTATTATTGTAACCATTTTTAGTAGTAACTGGCATCCCTTCTACAATATGTGCCTTAACAAAAGAATACAGAAAGAAATGCACAGTGTGGGTAATATTTCATCAGATACTCAAATTATTCACATTACTTACACATGGAACTCATTCTGTCCTCTTTGTCTGGAACACTTTTGTCTATTTGTCCACACATAAGAGACTATGAGAGTATATTTTGCCATGCTGGGGAATTGGACAAAGCTTTAAACATTTCTAAATATATAAATAAATAAAAAAACAGAAAACATTGTGTATGACTTTGACACAAAACCTACTACAGTATTTATTTGGATGTTATGTTGCGATATATGAAACAATGAAAAAGGCAGTCCACCATTAAATTATTGCTGAAAGCTGTCCTGTGTGGTTAACCCAAAAGTCAGTCATCAGGGTGCTTTCCAATATGTTTAGGGTGGAGTGTGCAGTGTTAAGAAATTGAGGAGACACCAAACCAATATGTTGCAAGGGACGCCCAAATATCTCGAACATTTCATTTTCTGTTCATTTTTTGACTGAAACTATAACAACTGGCCTATATTTACACATGAAAACTGCACCAAAACTACATAAAACACTAATGAAAATTATAAGAACAAGTACAAAATTTGAGAATGTATTTTTTATTTTTTTTGTTACCCCAAAGCTTGGGGGTAACACTCTTTCGGTTAATGAGAGCTGAAAACAACTGCATGCTGCACCTTTCATATTTGTCATAGTTGAAGTTTGTGGTTGCAGCTCGATAGAAACGTAAAGGAGTCGAAGGGGTGTGAATACTTTCGAAGACCCCTTAGGTCTCACAATTAGGAGGTCAGACCTGCACAAACACGCAGACACGGAAAGCGCGCACTCCCACGTGGCCACCTCCTCTATTCCATCCAAATCTGATCATGTACAAGTGCACATTCCTGCATAGGAATTCTCTGGGTGTTTGGTGTCGGTGGTGTCTCGCGCGGACCGGGACCTCGCGGACTTACGTCACCCCCAGCCCGTCAAACAGTCAAACACACGCGCGCACGTTACAGGCGGACCGAGCGTGGTTCGTGTTCGGGAGAGAGAGAGAGGGGAGAGAGAGTGAGTGTGAAGGTGGGAGAGAGGCTGAGGGAGGCAGGCAGTCGCACCGCGGCTCTCCAAACACAACCACAGTCTCGCCACGTCCAACACAGCGAAGACCCGACGAGCGACACCCTCCCTCCAGCGGAGGGAATAAACCAGAACGTGATTTCCAGCGCTTTGGTCGCGGACGACTCCAGTGGGAAAAGAGACGGAAAAACGTGGAAAAAACAGCAGGAAGAAAAACCTAAGAGCGGATTCTTTCTCCTTTTTTTTTTCTTCTTCTTTTTTTTATTTTTTTTTTTAAACCCACACCTTTAATTATTCTCTATGTTTTTTTTGGTTTTTACCCGACTCGCGTTGCTGGATGTAAAACAAAAGGAAGAAGAGAACTCTCTAAAGAAAAGCCAAGATTCAAACGAAAAACATTCATAAAAAGAGCGGAGAACAAGTTTGAAAGTGACCGCAAAATGGTGCTAAGGTAAGGGGACTGTGTGTGAGTGCTGCAGTGATTTCAGGTGTGTTGACAGCGCTTTAATCTGTCCATCAGGCTTGCACATGCTGTTTTAGTGATGATCTTTGTGTCCAGTTTATTAGAAGCCACTTATTTCCTCTTGTAGCCACTGTTTCTGTATAAATGCACCCATTTTTCTATTCACGGGTCTTTTTTTAATATCCCATTTCATATTGGCACGCAACTATTTATCTTTGGATAATGTCGTCAAAAATATCTGAAATAGACAAGAGGACGTGTTATTTTTAAAGCTGTCATGCACATACAGTTCATACACCGCATCCTTTTAAAGTTGCACAAGACTCCTCTCTGCATGCGGCTGGATTGTGAAGAATTTTTCAAAGCGCATTCCTGCAACTCTCCAGAGATCCCCACGTCCAAAATAGAGGAGGAAAAAAAAAAAGAGATGGCTTATTATAGAACGCGTTATATTTTTGTTTTGGCTGAGAAGGGAAGGCGAAGGGGGGTGGGGGGGTGTTTAAAGTTAAAGTTGACGCAGAGTCGGTCAGTCACTCAAATGAAGTGCTGTCCTGTCAATCAGGTGAAAGTGAATGGGGTTTTTTTTTCTCCTTTTTTTTTATCGTTTCCAGTAGAAGCGCAGAGCACCTGTGCTCAGTGCGCCTGTTGAGCCACTAGGGGACTCATTCTTCCCAGACAGAGGAGGATGCAGAAGGAGCTTTTACAAGCCCTTAAACTGGATCTTTAAGGCACCAATATGAGGGGAAAATCCACACAAGATGAGATACAAGACAATTGTTTTTTTTTTTTTTATCCTACGTTGTAAAAGTAATAACTAGGCAAAAGTTCTTAAGCAAAATGCTCAAATGTTTCTGTCAAAGATGCATGAATGGGTGTTTTATTTGTTGAACACAAAGACAATCTAAATACTTAAAGGGGGCTAGGCGGAAGTTTTAGCTTTTTAATATCCTTCTTTATCTCTTTAAAATGTATTTTATCTTATCTCACCATATTTTTGATTTGATTTCATAAACGTTATAAAATGTTTAGTTTTGTCAGTGTATTTGTGTGCTGCACACACTGATGTATTATTTAAAACAAATTATCCAAGTCGTCCAGTTTGTTTTCATGACATTTTTTATCTGTTTCTCCTACAGTGTTTTAAAAAAAAACATTTTTAAGTCTTTATTATTATTATTATTATTATTATTATTATTAATTATTATGACCCAACTCCTTTTTATATATCATTTTTTAGAGGATTATATTCAGAATTTGTTGTTCACACACAGAGGTGCTTAAAAGCATTTTTTTTTTATTCTTCTCCACCACATGTTTCAGTTTAGGTTAGTTCATGATTTTTCTAGAACTATTAGTTTCTTATTCAAGTATGTTTCTTTGAGCCTCTGTGGGTCAGACACAGTGGTGCACAGTTCTTTTTGTACAAAAACAATAAAAGATGAGGAAAACAATCACCAGTCCCGCCCACTTCTTCCGCCCCTCTCTCCATCCAATAAGACCCACCTGATGGCAAACAACTAAATGGCTGTAAGTGCTTTCAGGGCCTTGTTGTCTTATTGTTTTAAATATGAGAGACGATATTAAAGGTTTCCAAATTTCCATTAAACTGCTTGAGGTTGTCTATGGTTACATTCTAAAGACACTTCCTGGCAAAGGGAACAGCTTTGTTCTATTGTCGTGAGTTGTCATGAGCAGTAGGGATTATGTTTAGTGTTAATTACACTTTTAACAGTCGTGTTTTGGCTTAATTTGGGTTTTGACGATTTTGAAAAGATAGGGTTAATGCTATATAGAGTTTATGCTGTTGGTTTGACAGAAGACATTCAAAGGAGATCTCAATAAAACTGACATTTTTCATTCAACGGGCTCAGCTTAACACAATATCAGT